GTGGGAACTATTTTGAGCTGAACATACGGTTGTGGCCATTAGCCTTATTAACACACCTAGTTCCTACTATCACTAAATAACTATTTGGCCACTATTTGTTTAATAACCAACTACCCTGTTAGACTCTAAACACTGCCTAGTTCACAGCAATATCTCTAGTGCATGGTTTATTGCCTGCTGCAGGCTTGGTTCTTAGTAGACATAACTGCAGTAAGTGAATGAATGACTCATTTACTGGGAAGGGTGGTTTGGGGGTAGTTCATCTATCTATCCATCCATCTATCCACCCACCCATCCACCTACCCAACCATCCATCCATCCATCCATCCATCCATCCATCCGTCCACTTCTTCATTCATCTATCATCAGATATCTTAGGGAATATTTGCCATGTAGTAAGCACTGTGCCTTGCACCAAAGACACAGGGCAAAGCAGTGATGACGCTGCTCTGGATGGAAAAGCTCGCTCTCTGGGTGGGGAAGGAGTGAGACCCTCCACTGAGGTCTTCAAATACCTCTTCTGCAGATCTCTTGCCCAGCATTTATAGCCCTAGAACTGTAAAAACTGGTCCTTTTATTAGGGCATTGTTTTTGTAAATCGCAAATATGCTTCAGGGTGGGCTTTCCAGTCATTAACAACTTAGAGTGAACTAGTTTCTCAGATTTAGGAGGGGAGGGAGAGAAAGCAGGCCATATGGCTATGGAAAGGACACTCTCAAGTAATTGGTTTCTCCCTTTTCTACAGTAGGAGGCCCTGGGTCATGGGAAGGCAGCAATGTAGCAGAAACATGCCCAGTTGGCTTGAGTCTGTCACCACCTAGCTGTGCCATGACAGGCAGCTTGGCCAACTCTGAGCCTCAGGCTCCTTACCTTCCTGGAAGGTGATGCAGAACAAATGCTGCTGTAGACATGAAAGGGTCCTGTGAATCACATGACTACATGCTCTACCCCTTGCCAGGGAAGGGGTGAATTTTTCAGACCTGACAGCCATGCACACACCTGCTGCTCTGCAGATGGCCCCTTCTGTGCAGCTTCCTTTTTAGAGGAAAGCCCTTCAAGCTTCTTGTATCAGGTGCCACACAGACATTAGTTGCATCTTCATTGTCCTCTCCTGTGAAGGCAGAGCCTGGTGCTGAGTCCCGAGCATTCCCAGGTAGGAGGGAGGCTGTGCAGGAGAGAAGTCAGACCTGGGGAAAGAGGCAAGGCATGAACCAAACTCTCCTTTATTGGCAAAAGCTCCCCTAGGCCAGCCCTCCTGGTGCTCCACAGCTCCAGGGTGCACCACAGAGCTGCACCCCAGTGCCAGCTTGTCCTGGCCCTTGGGAGCACAAACCTCCTGGGAAGGGCCCTCAGAGGACTGAGAGGCTCTGTCCTATCCAGCAGGGCCTTCTTCTAGGCCACATCTTTGTCACATGAGCTTGAGGACAAGGAAACTCTTTCCCTGACCTGGAGGTGAGTGCATCAAAACCAGGCCTACATTTGGGGCATCTCCAATGTTGATCACATTCTCTTTGTAATTCTCACAGCATCTCATGGTCGGGTCTCTGAGAAGGAAACTCTCTGACCTCAGGGAAGAGGGAGGGAGAAAGGAGAGGTGACCTTCCTATGCTGTGTTCCCAAAGAAAGCATGCATCTCAGTCCATTAGTTTTACCCTTTAGCTGCACTACTGTCTTTGAAAAAATGGCATATATATGTGTGTGTGTGTGTGTGTGTGTATGTGCATGTGTGTATATATATAGTGTGTGTGTGTATATATATAATGACAAATGAGAGTTGGGATTGTTGAGAAATGAGTTCTGATTGTTGAATAGAAATCTGAACTCAAGGAAATAACCACTATTAAAAGAACTGTAAACAAATAAAATTCAGCAGAGTTTAATTGAGCAAAGAAGAATTCATGAATTGGGCATCCCTAGAACCAGGACAGATGTAGTGAGGCTCCAGGGGCTGCCACACAGCTGGACATTTACAGACAGAAAAAGGGAAGTCAAATATAGAAAGCGGAAGAAGGGGAAAGTGAGGGACAGTGCTAGCCCTATGGTTAAAGCTGGAGTTTGGCTTATTTGAACTTGGTTTGAACGTGGGTTGTCTGTGGTTGACCTAGGTTCAGCTTCTGTGATTGGCTGAGATTGGGCCACTTGTTACAAGAGTAAGTTACAGTTTGATTACACATCAAGTTAGGTTACAGCTCACTATGTACGGAGAAACCATTAGGCCAAACTTAAGATATGTATGGAGATAGCATTAGGCCAAGCTTAATTCAAATCAACTCTGCTCATTTCTGTAAAAGCTTTTCACAGGAAAAAAAAAAAAGCTTTCAATGTTAATTGTACCCGGTATTTTGAAAAGAGAAAGTGGTTGATCGTTGATCTTCAGATTAAGATTAGAAGCAAGTAGGCAAAGTGTTACTCCACTTTTGATAAGGAGGAGACAGGGGCTGCATGAAAGCCATAGGACCTCCCCATGGGAACATCTCAATCCTCTGCTCCCTGCTCAATGTGAGGGCCGTGGTAAACTGCCTCACATCTGAGCACAGCCCAGTCCCTGATATATAGTGTGTTCTTCATAAATGCCAGCCAACCAGGCCCTTCACATTTATGTAACCATGTGTAGGTGTCCTGTACTTTTACTTTGTAATATTAATGACAACCTCTAATGATATATTTATTAATCATCTCATGTCAGTCCCTGGCACACCCACTATATGACAGCAGGGATTGAGTCGGTCTTGTTCACCACCTGCATGCCTAGCAAAGTGCCTGGCAGACTGGAGGCACCTGCCAAACAAGTGGAAGGTTGGGGAATGAAAAGCTGGCCCTAGCATAGCAATTCTGCACCATCATGACACTTGGCCATGAACTTTGCTGCCTCCGTTACCTAATGAATCTAATGGGAATAACAATCTATCCTCTCTCAAGGACCAGTTCTCTCTAAGTTGGGAAACGCCATTGCTCAGAAAATGCAGTTCTTCCCATAGAGGCTTCAAACTGCTGTGGACTGGGAGCACTCTTCAAGGTGCTCTCTCATGCCATGGCCAATTTGTGCTCTTTTCCATGAATTAGAAGCAGGATGTTACTTTGGACAATATCCAATAAAATTGTTCATTTGATTATTGATGATTTGTCTGAAATACTTTGTTGAGCTCTTTTGTTGCCATACACTGAATCAGGCACTTGGGGCCCACTCAGACACTGCTCTGAGGGAAAGCCCTGGCCGATGACGGTAACAAGGGCAGGGGGTGCATGGGCCATGGGAGGCAGGCCAGGTGCTCAGGGAGACGCCTTCCGATCTCCAGTGAATCTTGAAGGGCAGTCACAAATTAGCCAGCAAAAGACGATGTTCTAGTTGGAAAGGTCAGGATGATGAAAGCCTGCAGGGCGTGAGAACTCCCAGCATGTGTAGGGTCCATCTCTGCATGTTTTCTCACGGTGTGTATGGTTTAATGATTACTATTTCTTCCTAATCAGAGCAATGTTAGGTGACTTCTGTTCCAGGTGGGAATGGGCTTTCTCTGCCCCTTTGGGAGTTTTCTCACCTTAGAGTATCTGCAAAGGCTGTCACCCAGTATGTTTCTGAGAAACCACACTCCTGACAGCTGACACCAGTGTGGGGATGAGAAGGCATCCTGTTTCCCGCTACTTCCTGTAACAGGGATCCCAAGAGAGCACTGTGACTTATGATTCACTTCAGGGTCTTTCCATTTTTTGGAAATGGAAAGACCTCTTGCCAAGGCCCTGCCAACAGAGGTGGGAACAGGCGTGGGTGCCCATGATCTGGGAGAGGTAAGTAGGCTGAACTTTGGGGGCATCCAGAATCTCTAATTGAAAGGGATTGAAATGAGCAGGTTGCCGGCCTCCTACAGATATTGGTGTCTGAAACCTCCATAGAAAAGTCTGGTTGGGTGCACATTTGCCCCCAGCTGGCTGTGGAGGAATAAGGTCTTAGCCAGTTGGGGCTGGTTTATCTTTAGGGTGGACTGCTGGGCAGCAGGCATGGGAGAGGCACACCCCAGTTTAGCCTGTTCCTCAGTACAGCAGCCTGCCTTGTTTTCCCTCAAGGCAGGTCTGCTTATGTTGACATTGATTCTCCTTGCAAAGTGATGTGTAGGCAGAGCTTCATTTACAGGTGATTATTAGTAAGTCCTGGGTTTCCATGAGATCATTTTGCTTTCTCCTGGGAGGTAAAGCCTCTTTCCTAACTCAGGCTGTCTCAGGGTTTTGCAGCCCTTTGTCACAACGAACTCATCAGTGGCTATTTCCTTACGAAGGCTTCTGATAGGTTCACATGCCAGAGTTTCCAACCTTCAGCAGCTCAGATTTATGCCCCAGTGAACGAATGTACTCGGTACTAGTTCCTTCCTATCAGCTTGGAAAAGTGTGTAGTTCAAGGATTTAAATCATTTAAACAAACCTAATTGGGAAATGTAGACACTTAAACTTTCTACCTGATGACCCCTTTGGTCCAGCCTAGCCACCTCAGGATTTATGGTACAGTGAGTATTACTCTGTTATTTTATCTCACGTCTTTTCACGTTTCCTTTTTTCTCCTTAACCGAGACCACAAATTAGAAAGAACCTTCAGATTCACTGCCTGCATTATACGCTTGAGCACACAGGCCTAGGGACATTGATTGCCATACTTGAGATCATGCAGCTATTAAGGGGAGGGGATGAGCCAAGGACCCAGGCTCTTCTAATGCCCAGCTCAGGGCTCAATCCACACTGGCTCCATCTTTACATCTAGCCCTGGGTGTTCTTTTTTTTTAGAATTTATTTTTTATGTTTTTCGAGTCTCACTCTGTCTCCCAGGCTGGAGTGCAATGGTGCGATCTCAACTCACTGCAACCTCTGCCTCCAGGGTTCAAGCAATTCTCCTGCTTCAGCCTCCTGAATAGCTGGGCCTACAGATATGCACCACCACACCTGGCTAATTTTTGTACTTTTAGTAGAGACAGGGTTTTGCCATGTTGGCCAGCCTGCTGTCGTACTCCTGATCTCAGGTGATCAACCCATGTTGGCCTCATAAAGTGCTGCTCTTACAGGCATGAGCCACTGTGCCCGGCCTGACCTTGGATGTTTTACTGCATCCGTTTTCCCAACCATTCATGGCTTTGTAACTAGAGCACAGTGTTCTTTCCGTAGAAGGTACTTGAGGAAAGTGTTGCCTAACTTTTTATTTGCTTGGGGTTGCAATGTCAGCTTGCGGGAAATGCACTAGAAATGTGTGGGGAAACTCTGCTTAGCACCCTCCATGACTCTCTCATTTGGTTTTCAAGGACTGACATAGTGATGTCATTCATTCTTGAACAGAAAGAACTAGCCAACCTTGTTTTCAGAGTCTAGCACACCACTTTGAATAGAGGCTAGAATTCTCTTGCTAACCATCACGCTATGTACAAAGCATAGCCAGTAACTTGCTGAATTTCTGCATCTCTTGGTCTTTAATGGAAAAGCATCTTCTCCAACCTAGGGAATAAAGTATACGCTTTGTAATTTTATGTAAGGAAAACCCAATACTAGCTACTCTTTCTGGCATGTTTACTATGTGCCACATAGATGGTGCCTCTATTATGCTGTACAAATGTTAATTCATTCAATCCTTGGCCCTAACTGGTAAAATGTATATTATTCTGAATTTTATAAATGAAAAGAGTGGGGCTCAGTTGCTTTTCCAAAGTCGCACAGCTAGAAAGTGGCAAAGTGTGGAGTCAAATTGACTAACTATAAGTCCTGCAGACCAGAAAAGGTGACACTTTGCCTTTGAAGACACAACAAGAGGGCTTTCCTGGATGTCTGCCAGAAACTGCTGTCCTCTGGCAGGTGCTGGGCCTCTGTTCTCCATGTTCAGACTCCTAAAGAAAACATTTGTTTATTTCTCTCTTCTTCTGGTCCCACTTTTACATCCTATCCCCATGGGAGGGTAAAAAAGCAGAGGAGGCCCATCCACCTCCACTTCTCCTCTTGATGTTTGCACCAGCGGCCCCAGAGATGGGGACAGACCGGACTCTGGTGCCATGGACTGGCACGTGGTCTCAAGTTTCTGGCCCTGGAGTTGGAATACAGTGCCACTTGCTCTGTAGGAGATCAGAGGAATGCTATTTACAAACATTGAGTATCTGAACTCATTTCAGTGGATTTGGGAAAATCACTCTCCATGGGAATAAAAGGTATCGAGAAAGAATTTTTAAATACTCTATATATACATAGGTCGAATTTATTATTTCCAAATACAACAAATATAATTATCCTCTCCCATGATCTTAAACAGATGTATTCCAGAAACATTTTGTCTGTGTCTTTAAAGGACTGCTTTGCTTTTTCTGATATTAGGTCAACAGAAAAATGTACCACCCTGCTGGTAAAAGTCAGGTTTTGAGCAATATCTGCATAACTGTTAGGTGTATTATCATTATTTTTTGTCTAACTTTCATCCTGCACTCCTCAGCAGAACTGAAGATACTCCCTGTTCCAAGGAAACTCATAATCTAATGATGCCATTGGAAAGTCACTGGTTATTGTTGTGGACCTTTTGCAAATACCCTCCAAAAAAAGCTTAATGTGAGTTTTAATCCAGATAAATAAACCTATTAAGAAGGAAAAGGAGAAGGAATAAGTGGCATGAAGATTTACTACTCTTGGAGTTTGTTTTCTTCTCTGTAAGGAAGAGTTGTTCCCCATTGCTTCAATCACAAAAAACCATTAAACACGGTCCAAGAAGGGGGGAAAAAACATGGTAGAAGATCACTTTATAAGGGACAATAAGTACTTGAAAATTAGCAAACATTCCTTTACATTTGGGAACTCTTTAAGTGCTCAGGGTGAATACATGAGAGGAAGTAAAGAGTGAAGTGTGCAAACTCCATTTTACAGTCAATCTGGCAGCAGAATTCTCAGTGTGTCAAGGAAGTAAGCAAATGTTAGAGAGGTAAACAGATTCCAGATTAACTTACCTAGAAGAGTCTCCAAAAGCAGCTGGGAAGCAGAAGAATGCAGCTCCTTTCTTGCCATCTGTATTGACTGGAAATCCCCTGGTCTAGTGGTTCCATTGGCATGGGGGCATCACCCTCCTTCCCCCAAACCCTTCAGAATTTCCAAGGAAGCCTGTCAAGCTCAATTAAGACTCATTGTGTCCCCCAGGGTCCTTTTTGCCACATGGAAGAAGACAGAATATGTCTTATCTTGATGATTTTCTTCTAATCAATTTGAGTGTCAACAGCTAAATTTGAAAAATAGAATGCAAAGTGAAGACTAGATTTATCATTGTTAAGCTAGGAAACCAAGAGTCTGCATTTCTGTATTCTAGGGTGAAAATGGGAATTCACCTGTGGAACTCACTGGCCATTGTGGAAGAAACAGTAAGATGATCCTCCCTTCATTATCCTGGCCAATATGGTATCAGATCACTTTGTGTTTCCACTTCAGAACTTTGTGGGTGGCTTTTGTTCACTGCTGTATCCCCAGCACCTAGAGCAGTGGCTCATGCAAAATAGAGTTTCAATAAGTATGTGTGGGAATGAATGAATGTTTGATCAAAAGAGGTAATTCTCTCATGCTGCCAAGATGAATGTGAGGTCTGAGAAATGTGTTCCTAGAATCCTGCATTGGAGCTTGAAACTCAGTTGAAGCTTTCCTATGGAAGCGATGTTATATAAAGTGATTGGGAGTTATTGAAATAATGCTCTTGGCACCATGACTGCTGTAGGCACTTGTGGCTTGGCCTGATGCCTTTGTTACAGTCTATGTCACTGTTTCCATGGGAAAATACATTCTGGGTCCCAGGACTTGGCTTATAAGTGACTTTGAAAATACAAACCAGTCTTAGTTGAGACCTGCCTGAAACTTTGGTTTGACTGTGGCTGTCTTGGAATATGTCCAAAATAAGACATTGTTAGGAAACCTGAGTGGCCTTTGTTCTTGTGGCTGGTTCCTACCAGGAAGGGTGGTGTCATGTCAGGAATGTAGACTTGAAGTCTGTGGACCATACCATGCTAGCTATGACCCTTCCTTAAGTGGCCTAAAAAGACTAGAGGATTTTTAATGGACTGGGGAAAGGTCCTTCCAGGTGTGTTAATATCTCAAACAATTTAGCTACATAGAATGTGGCCCAGAAACATCACAGTGGGTCACCAGCAACCATGACGTTCAGTGAGGTTCAGAGACAATCAGGGTATTACCCCGGAAGATCATAATGTTGGGCATAATATTTGTGGTATAATTGTTGTTTAATCAGCTCTGGGATATGGCTGGGCTATCTTACAGAACAAACAGCCTCATGCACGCTGATGCACATTTGAAGGAATATCCTCCATGTAGACTCATTCAGACATCCCAACCTGCTTTTCTGCAGATTGGGGTTGGTGTAAGCAGCCAGCAGTCTCAGATAGCATCGGTGTCGAGGCCATGGATATCCAGCAAGTAGCCTGGCACCTTGTTCATTGGCATGAAGACCGTGGGGCCTCAAGGGAAGGTGGAAAGTCTAAGCCTCTCTGGTCATAAGATAGGGTCGCCTGGTGATGGAAGGGCTGCTATTGGTCTTGAGAGGGTTCCTGACTGACCACACAGACGTACTTGCTGGGGCATGAAGAGGTGTCTCTGCCATGAGGCTGGTGGGTCTTCGGAGGGGACAGGGGCAGAGTTGGAAACAGAAATCTAACACAAAGGTGGGAGAGTGATTTTAAGTTGTTGCAGGAGTTAAGAGATTCTAGCCAGGGTGTGGGGAATGAGGTAGGGGCGAAGGACAGCACTGACCTCTTGAATAAGGGCAGTATCAGTAGACTCTGTGTCACTGTGTCTGCATCAGGGGCCCCTCTGGCAGTGAACGAGGCTAATACAGCATGTTTCTGCTCAGGCTTGTTAATGCCTTTCATTGCTTTCTCTCTGCCCACACCCGAGGCTGCTGGTGTTAGCCTCATTTTCAGTAGGCTCTACTCAACTGTGGCAATGATGGGCACCTGTAGTACCAAGCTCATATCTCACTAGATTTGCTATGAAAGAGGACCAAGGAAAGTTCCAAGGCTGATGCTTTGCAGCCCAGAATGGATCATGACTATTACCTTGATTGGCCAGGCCTGGGGTGGGTAACTACTCTCAAGCCCTTGGACTGAGACTGGGGGAAATGTGGTTCCCCAAGAAAAACTGAGTTCCTATTATCTAAAGAAGACATGAATATTCAGCAGAAAAACACCACATTTCCACACTTTTAAACTCTGAAATATGTGACTGGGTATAAGTCAAAGACAGAAATTAAATGAGGGAATGGTTCTCTAAGGCCTTCATGTAGCTGCTAATGTTCCTGGAAAGTGAAGGGGTTTTCCCTGATTTGTTCTATAACATATCTTAAGTAAAGTATGCTCAAGTTCTTGTCCTGGAAAATCATCACATGATTAACAAACACACAGACTGGAAAATTGGGGAAGGGCAGGAGGAAGACTAAGAGAGAACTCTTGTACCCTTTCAACAAATAGGCAGAATCACTTAGCATGAAGGAGGAAATGAAGCAATAATTGAAACCATGAAGTGGGTATCTTTTTATGTGTGCATGTGGCGAAAAAAAGTGCATCATCTACATTAACATATAGCCAGATGAAAACCCAAGTCATTTCCTTTATCGTAATAGTATTAGATAACAGTGACACTTATTATTTCTTCATCACTTTCTAAGTTACGGGTTAATTTAATCTTGCAATCAGATTCTTCATCAGGTAAAGTTCCTCTTATTCTTCAATGATACCACTTCAAAGAGTCTTTCCAGATTCATGTAGGCAGGGATCTTTTTTTCTCCTTCTTGGTAGCTGCTCACTGCTTTTTGTGCATACCAGTATGGTAGCACTTGTCATGTTGCACTGTGATTTTTTATTGTTCAAAAGGCTCTGTCAGGCAAGAGCTACGGGCTTTGAGGCGCATCACTTGACTTCTCTGTAACACAAACTGGGAGAATAACAGTTCATCCCTCTTAGGGACATTACAAGAATTAAATTAAATGAGCTGATGCATGAAAAGCACTTAGGATAATACCTGGCGTATAGTGGGAGCCCAGTAAATATTGGCAGCTAGCATTTTAGTGTTCATCCTCATTAAAATAATAATGATTATAATAATTATCATTGCTATGTCCTCTACTAGATGGGGAAGTGCTTGAGGGCAGGGACTGTTATGAGATCATAGTAGGTACTCTATGTGGAAAAAAAGGAGGGAGGAGGGAAATAAAAAATGGAAAAAACAAAGAGGGCAGCAATACCAGGTTTGCCTAGAAGTGGCAGCTCTGGGTAACCAGAAACAACCTCTCCAGCTAGGAAGGATCTCATGACCTTTTATTTTATAGACAAGGAAATGTAGGGGTCAAGAAAGATTAAGGAACATGTTTAGGATCACAGCATTGGCAGCAGTGGCCTGGAATCCAGGCTTTCTCCTGGGTTACCCTTCATAGCCCCTGCTTTATTGGCATCTCCACCTTCCTTAGTAAATGCTCATGTATACATATGGCTTGATAAACCTTGGTTGATGTCTGCCACTGAGAGAATAGGGCATTTCCTATGTATCCCCAGATGGAGACTGAGGAAAACATGGATATTTGATGGGAATGTAATGTATTCATTATCTTTTCACTATCTTTCTTGTAAAACCCAAAAGGCAGCCATTAAAAAACAGTATGATCCTGGTCTTAATCCAGCAGGCTCCAAGCAGCCTCAGCCATTATGAGAGTTACTGACTCTAATTGCAAATTATGAGACAGTTAAATAAATACAGTTTATGTCCTTCTTTAATATAGGCTTGAACCTTCTTTAATATAGGATTGAACTGAACTGTCTACGAGGATTACTACCTTCCTTGGGAAATAGGCAAAAACTGAGCTGACATAGGAGCCAAAACAGGGTCTCTGGAACTCATACTGACAGGAATATCAGAAAGGAAACCCATTCCTGTGTTTGACTGGATGGGGCTGCTCAGAAGTGAGAGAAAATTAATAGTGAGATTGACAGAGTGCTTGAAAGGGGAGGTGAGAATGAACTAAATGTAAGAAAGCCAGGTTGGGTATAATACTGTCTGTAATTAAATACACTTAATCACAAGCATAATGATCTCATGTGTGTATTATGGGTTACATTATACCCTAGGTACAGTCATTTGCCCAAATTGGGAATTTGCACCCTAGGGTGGAGAGCCAGCATTCTAATTAGGAAGCCTGTAGTCCAGAAGCAGCTACTACAAGAGCTCCCATGATCTTTATCTATGATCAACAGTAGATGCTTTGCTAGCTGGCATATTTAATGTTAGAAATAGGTTTCCATTGATGAAATCCATGGCTTCTTAGCATAATGGATGCTCCAAACAGAATTTCATTCATGAACTTACTAGTGGTAAAGATAAGTGAATTGTCTACAATATTTTAGAGCAGCTTCCTGCTCTTGCTTAAAAAGAGTATAAACATCTAGCCAGTCCTGTAGCTCTTAGTGATGCAATCCTGGATCAAGATTTGGATTCAGAAGATACTAGTGTCTTGATGCCAACTCTGCAGATTAATTGAATTCTGTATCCAAAATATTGTCGTATTTACCTGAAATGATGATGTGCTATCAGGAGCTAAAAAAAGCCATGCTTTAACTGTGAAGGGATAAACCCAAGGACAACACGCAAAGTATGTTATTTATCCAATGCTCTCTGACAAATTACTCCAAAATGTAGTGGCTTAAAACAACAATAATAATAATCTCCCATGGTTTCTGTGAGTCGGGAATTTGAGAGCAGTTCTGGCTTGGAGATTTCTCATGAAGTTGCAATTACATGTTGGCTGGAGCTGTAACTATCTGAAGGCTTGACTGGGGCTGAAGGACTCACTTCCAAGATAGCTCACTCCATGGTTGACAAGCCGATGCTCCCTGCTGGAGGGAGGCCTTAGTTTTTCTCTATGTTGACTCCTTCATGTGTCCTGGATTTCCTCACAACATGGTGGTTGAGTTCCAGAGGCAGGCATCTGAAAACAGAGAGCCAGGTAGAAGCTGTATCCTTTCTGTGATCTACCCTCAAAAGTTACATAGCATCACTTCTGCCCCACTCCATTGATTGGGACAGTCACAATCCCCTGCCTAGATTTGAGAAGAGAGAACACAGACCCTTCCCTTAATGGGAGGAGTGTCAGTTGCCAGTCACATTTTGTGAAGAGTATGTGCTATGAGATAAATATTTAGATGTGGCAATTTTTGAGAAATACAAGATGCTACAGTAAGGAAGGATGGCAGTGAGAAAAGGTAAGAAAACAAAAACAAAAACAAAACCCACCTAGGGCCTTGATACCATCACTGGGCTACTGAAATAATCAACCATGAAAACACCTACCTCAGAATATCTTGTTTTGTAAGATAGTACTTTATCTTCATTGTTTTATTTGGGTATTC